CTGAAGGTTCGAAAACAAAAATATCGTTCCTCCGTCTAATTCCAATTTCCTGTGTTTCCTGCAATCTAGATGAATATTAATCTGCACTTACCCGTGAGATACCCTCGCTGGCTGATGTGGGCTCGCTTACCTTCTTCAGTCCTGCTCCTGACGTTCCTACAGCTTGAGTCCATCCCCTGGAATGTCCCAGAAGCCTGATTCCCTTCCTCCAATTAGAACCTGTTACCCCTCATCTCCATGACCAGCCCAGGATGGGCAAGGAGCCTATGTTATGGAAGGAGATGTGAGGGGAAGCATGTCTGCAGAAGCTACGCGGCAAGGCAGACAGACCATATGACCATCCAACCATCCAACCATCCAACCATCCGCCCATTTGAGGCTGCTGGGCCTTTAGCCTCTGCAGGAGAGCAGCCTTCGCCTGCAGAACATAGCGCAAGTCACAGGCGCCGAATAGCCTGCCTCCCAGTGAGGCTGTGGAGTCCGCAGTGAGATAACCTGGCCCCACAGGTGGACTCAGTTACTGAGCTGCACAGGACAATGGTCCAGACCATTCCATTGCTCCCTTTGGCGTGTGTGGGAACCCTGACCAGAGCAAGCTGGGTGTGCAAGGCCAATTTGCCGCATGCGTGTGCCAAGCCAATGACAACAGTTTTACTGTGTGACCGCGCAGGCACACTCCCTGTAACCCAAACACCGATGCCCTTGTTTGGTCAGAAGCCTCTCTGTCTGAGTTGGTGTAAAGAGGTGTTACTGGCCAGCATGTGCAGCTGCCCTGTAGGGCCACTTTGAAGAACTGTGTAGTCTAAGGCAATGGTTCTCAGCCTTCCTAATGCCACGGCCCTTTAATACAGCTCCCCATGTGGTGGTGACCCCAACCATAAAATTATTTGTGTTGCTACTCCATAGCTGTAATTTTGCTACTGTTATGAATCATAATGTAAATATCTGTGTTTTCCGATGGTCTTAGGCGACCCTACTAGCAGTTCTCAACCTGTTTGTTGGTCAACCTGTCTGCTGGAGAGCCTAAGACCTTTGGAAAACACAGATATTTACATCACCATTCATTAACAGTAGCAAAATTACAGTTATGAAGTAGCAATGAACATAATTTTATGGTTGGGGGCCACCACACCATGAGGAGCTGTATTAAAGGGCCACAGCATTAGGAGGGCTGAGAACCACGGCCAAGAGCTCCTGTAGTGGCAATGGCGGCCAGTCTGCAGTAATGTCTCTCCTTTATGCCTGCAACTTCCCACGTCTTCTCCCAATGCCCGCGGTCCATGGGGATCCAGCCCCTCACAAGGGAGCTGAGACCCCCACAATGTGCATCCAAAACAAACCTTTCCATTTGTAGCTAAAAGCTAACCTTTCTAATTTTTTCTTTCTTTATTTTTTTCAAATACTGTTTTTTATTGACCTCAGAGAGGAAGAAACAGGGAGAGAGAGAAACATCAATGATGAGCTGCCTTCTGCATGATCCCTACTGGAGATTGAGCCATTAACTCTGGCATGAGCCCTTGACTGGAATCGAACCCAGGACCCTTCAGTCTGCAGGCTGACACTCTATCCATTGAGCCACACCGGCCAGGATCTTTTTTAATTTCTTAACATCACACTGTGACAGAATGGGAAGAGATGATTCACCTCTGCAGCAAGCTGTGTACACTGAGGGGCAGATTGCAGGAGGTCGGGAAGGCCAAACATGCAACTTAATTTACACATGTGGCTGCTAACTAGTGTAAACTATAAAATAGAATCCTAGCATGCAGTTACTTTAAAGAATGCACTCTATCCCACTGACATTAAAAAACAAACATGCAAACACATTTAAATCTATATACAGTGAAAAAATCTAAAAGCTTGGAGGTTATCACTGTTTCATTACCAGGAATTTCACTCATAAAATTTGTCATGGTTGAATTGTATATAACTGCTAATATCAAGTGTGGGGGGCTGATGTGGTAGGGGCCAAACATGGTGGGGATCTCCCTTTTCTGCGTCCAGCACAGAAAGAGATATGAACAAACCAGTTCTAAGTGCAGGTGGCCAGGGATTGAGAAATAATAGAAATAAAGAGAGAAGACACAGAGATAGATTTAAAGCTGGGAGCCGGGTGGGCCGCCATCTCTCTGATGGAGAGACAGGAAGACAAGGACCAGAACCACACAGCGAGTTTATTTTTATAGGCCTGGATTTACATATCTAGTCCCCCAACCTGCCGATACCTGGGTGGCTATGAAGTCAGACGGATTAACATGTCCAGCCTTATTGGGGAAGCATGTCCCAAGTTGTGGCTCTGCCTACACCCTGAGTTCAGCTGATGATAATTAAAGGAAATTGCCCATGTGCCTTCCCAGGCGGCCCTCTACAATCAAGAACACTTTTAAGTGGAGGAATGTGAGGAGTCTATGACAAATTATACATATACTAGAGGCTGGTGAACAGATTCATATACATTGAAAGGAAATGAAGTAGAAGGTGGCCGGTGGGGTGGGACTGGGTGAGACAGGCTGGACATGCCCTGGAGCCAACCTCCTGAGGTCCCTCCCTGGCTGGCCACACCTAAGGCAGTGCTGGGGCTCGAAGGGTGTCTGTGGAGTGAGCAGGGTCCCTCAGCTTGGCCTGCAGGGATCAGGCCAAAAGCAGCTTTCCCTTATCCCCTAAAGGGTCCCAGATTGCCAGAGGGTGGTCCTTGGGTGACACACCCTGGAATCAGGCCCCCTTCTCTCTGATTCTGGTGCATCACAGCTGCCAAGTCACTACAGCTCAGCAGCTACTGCATTGAGTGTCTCCCCATTAATGGTCAGTACATGTCATAGCTACCGGTCAGACAGTTGATCTGTCAGTCACTTAGGTATAAGTGACTTGCAATAACTAAATATGGTACAAATGTTTTATAAATAATTTATTCATGTAATACTATTTGAGTAATTCTGAGTACTAGTATATATTTGTCCTATCAAGAAAAAGATTACAAAATTGGACATAAATTTTATATTGTATTAAAATGTCATATTTAAAACTAAGCTCAAAGTCACATATTTGGGTAGCGGTATCTTTTTTTCCCAGCTGTACAACCCACTGATTTGGCCCTGGCTCACGTGACTCAGTGGTTGGAGTGTTGGTGCACACACCAAGGGGTCTCAGGCTCTGTTCCCTGTCAAGGGCACTTACCTGGGTTGCAGGTTCCATTCTTGGCCCCAGTATGGGAATGTATGGGAGGCAACCAATCATTGTGTCTCTCTCACATTAGTGTTTCTCTCTCTCTGTCTCTCTCTTTCTTCCCCCTCCCTTCCATTTTCTCTAAAACAATCAATGGAAAAAATATCCTTGAATGAGGATTAAGAAAACAAAATCCACCACCTGGGAGAGCAGGGGAGCCCTTGTCCATGAAGGAGATGTCTCAGTGTGGTGTGGGTCTCCTTCTCCTGTCTCCCCGCCCACTGCTGCTCACAGCCTTCTTCCCGTTCAATGGAAGATGCTTTGACTCATCATAAACATCTACTCCAACCTCCTGATTTTTAAAAGCCTTTATAACGTAAACTGTCCTAGTAGAACTTGCTATTTGCTATCACTTTCAAATTCCCCTATGTCTGGCTATCTAGACTTTTAAACACTTACATAATGTAACATTTATTTATTTATTTGTTTGTTTGTTTGTTTGTTTGTTTTTGCTCCCTGTTTTATATTTCCTGTTCCTCCCTGACCAACATTTGTCCTCCACTTCCTTCTGCTGCTCAGTTTCATCAGCATGACCTTCCTGTTCCCTGCAGAATGTTTTGCCCACATTTTCTGTAAACCTTTTCTCCACCACAGCCCATCCCCCTGTAAGTGCTTGTCAGTAAAGGATTTGTTTTCACTTGTGGGAATACCAGGACAATCTATAATGATAAAGGCATAATTAGAATGAAGCCAGGGCCGTGAGGGAAGCCTGGGTCCTGGGTGCCAGAGGGAAGCTGGTGCCTGCAGCCAGGGGAAGGAATGCCTGCTCTTGCATGAATTTCGTGCATTGGGTGTCTAGTACTAACACTAGGTGCACCGGTTAATAATGCGGATGTTTTTCAATAGATGGAGTTACATATATGTTGATATAGATGTGATTTGATATGTATGCTATTTTGTTGTATTGACAGCAAGCTTCAAAACTTCATATATCAAATTTGCTGAAGGTGTTGACATCATAGAGATTTTTAAGCTTAGAAATGTAGAATTTCGTGCCAAAAATGAGCTTTTGTGGGAAGTTATAATTCATTACTTTATTTTGAAGAAAAGTGCTGCTGAATACGTTGGGAGGCTTATGAGGAACACTTGTGAATGCTGGCTTAAAAGCTTTAAAGGGGATGATTTATATGTGAAATACTAAGAATGTCCAGGTTAGCCGAAAAAGTTTGAAGACAACAATTACAAGCATTATTGGATGAAGATGCTGTCAAACTCAGAAACAACTTGCAGAAAGATGAAACGTTGCTCAGAAAACAATTTCCAATTGTTTACAAGCAATGGGGAAGATTTTAAGGGAAGGAAAATGGGTGCCACCTCAACTGAACAAAAGACAAATGGAAAACCCAAAAGTCATCAGTAAAATGTTGCTTCAACGGCATGAAAGAAAGTCTTTTTTGCATCTAATTGTGACTGGCAATGAAAAGTGAATTTATTTTGAGAATCCCAAATGCACAAAATCATGGGTTGATTCAGGTCAACCATCAACATCGATTACAATGCCAAATCGATTCAGCAAGAAGATACTGCTCTGCGTTTGGTGGGATCAGGAAGGTGTGGTGTATTATGAGCTTCTAAAACCAGGTGAACCCATTAATACTGATCACTACCAACAACAAATAATCAATTTGAACCACACTTTCATCATGAAAGGACCAGAATGTTCCAGAAGACATGGCATAGTAATTTTGCTTCATGATGACACACTATCACACAGTTAAAACCAGCTGAAGACACGTTAAAAGATCTTGCCTGGGAAGTATTAACCCACCAGCCATATTCAGACCTTGCTCCTTCAGATGACCACTTGTTCCGATGGATGGCACGCACATTGTCTGAGCAGCATTTCCAAATATGTGAAGAAGTGGAAAAGTGGGTCTCTGGTTTGCACATTGTCTGAGCAGCATTTCCAAATATGTGAAGAAGTGGAAAAGTGGGTCTCTGGTTTGCTTCAAGACAAGAACAGTTCTATTGGGACAGTATCCACAAATTACCTGAAACATGGGGAAATGTGTAGCTAGCGGTGGACATTACTTTGAATAAAGCACTTGGATGTTTCTCTGGAAATTATTGTGTTTTCTTTGGTTACAAAGTCCACCATCATTAATCGGTACACTAGGATGGTCCAGAATCATTTTATCATTTGTGTATAACTGGCATCTCAGAAGGAAAAGGTAAAGGGAATGGAACAGAACAGTGTAAGGGTTAATCACAGAGACTCTTCCAAAAACGATGACTGTCATGACCAACAGATCCAAAACACTTGCTAATAGCAAGTTGGATGAGAGCAAAGTGAGTCACATCACAGGCAGAATCTGAGGCTCAGATACAAGAAGAAAACCCCCAAAGCAGCAGAGTCAAAGGCACAACCGCCTCCGAGCAGCAACGGAAACGGTAATGGCTTTTCTAACAGAAAACCTGGAGGCAGCAGCCACTGGGATGACAGACTTCTTTAAATACTGAGCGACAGTGGCAGCCACACCTGCACACGCACCAATCTAGAACTCGTGTCTGAGCCAAGCAGCTCCCAAAAGCACAGATGGAGGAAGACATTGCCAGACCAACTAAGCGGCATGCTGTCTGCCTCTGTGGAATGTGCTGGCTCTGGTCACAGGCACTGACTCCACACACTTCTCTTCCATATCTGTAAACATCCCACAAGAAATGGCTAGAATTTCTGCTATAAACAGTTCTGTGCGTTTACATTGAAATTCTCTTGCCAACATGAGAAGCATGGAAATAAACTACAAACACAGTGAGATATTTTAAGACACTTTTATGGATAACAGTGGTTTAACACACATTCAACTAGGATTAGAAGCAAATCTTTCCAAACTTATAAAAACTACCCATAAATAACCTATTGGTATTGTATATTTACAATTATCAAACTTGTTCTCCTAAAAACAGATAAAAGACAAAGTTTTCATTTAGTCTTTGGTTCATCATTATAAGGGAATTCTGAAACAGTATAATAAAACAAAATAAAGATTCAACAGACATAAACATTAATGATGGCTTATTCTTGTATGCAATTGAAATGATATGTAAAATCCAAAAGAATCTACAAATTGAACTATTGTTATTCATAATTGAATTAAATATAGTCAATACATAAAAATCAATTATATTTCAATATACAGCAATATAAAACAGAAAATATAAATTAAACTTCATTTAAAATAGATTATATTTCAATTGTTAAAATCAAGTAGCTTCAGATCATGCAGACAGGCAGGCAGGCAGACATTGCCACAGCTGATTGTGGACAATGCAATGGAGTTATATATGAGGGTGAGATGTGGTCACTGATCAATAAGTAAGATGTCAATTCTTGCCAAATTGTCCTAGTGATTCACAGAACTTCAGACAGCTTTAATAGTCTCATTTCTGTAAATATGACAAAATTGTTTTAAAATATTTGTATTGTTTTTAGAGAGGAAGGAAGAGGGAGAGATAGAAATGTCAATGATGAGAGAGATTAATTGATTGACTGCTTCCTACATGGCCCCTACTGAGAATTGAGCCCACAACCATGGCATGTGCCCTTGATCAGAATTGAACCCGGAGCTTTCAGTCCAGAGTCCAATGCTCTATCTACTGAGCAAATCTGACTAGGGCTACAAAATTATTTTAAAATATATATGTCAATGAGGGGAAAAAAGGAACATCTGTAATTCAACAGGAAAGACAAATTTAAAATAAAGAAATACACATCATTGGAAATAAAATAAAATACTAAAATAAAATGTGTATGTGAGTAGGCCTGGCCCACAGACTGAAGAATTGAGGCTTGAATTCCAGACCTCAGTTGCAGGTTCCGTCCATCGCCTAGGTCAGGGCTCGCATGGGAGACAACCTATGGATGTGTCTCTCACATCAATGTTTCTCTCCCTCACCTCCCCCTCCACACTCACACTCTATCTAAAATCAGTGAAAACAATATCGGTGTAAGGGTAAGTAAAACTCCTCTAGGACAGCCTGGACAATCGTGAGGAAGACCCCAGGAGGATTTGTTCTGGCAGATTTCAAACTTCCCACCCCCCACAGTAATGAAGAGGGTGTAACTTCAGTGTGAGCACAAGAGATCCACGGAACCACACAGGCTGTCAGCAATATACCACACATGATGGCAGTTAGTTTTTGGCCAACATACATGATGGTTAATCATTTTTAAAAATGGTGTCAAGCCCAGCTGGGATTGCTCAGTGGTTGAGTGTGGATCACTGAACAGTAGGTCATGGCTCTATTCTTGATCAGGGCATATGCCCAGGTTGTGGGCTCAATACCCAGTGTGGGGCATGCAGGAGGCAGCCAATCCATGACTCTCTCTCATCATTGATGTTTCTCTCTCTCTCCTTCTCCCTTCCTCCCTGAAATCAATAAAAATATATTTTTTAAAAATGGTGTCAAATAATGTAAACACACACACACACACACTCAAACACTTGCCTCTCTATGATACCAACTGAAGAATGCCCTTGATTTTTAAACAGAAACCATCACTGTGATGATCAGTGTGGCTGCAGGTGCCCCCGGGCATGGCCTCCCAGGTGGCTTGTTCTGTACAAACTGAAGATGGGACCACCACTCTCTGGGATGCTCTTTGCCGCGCTGCCTCTTGCACACCCCCCACCGGGGATGTGCCCGCAACCAATGTACATGCCCTTGACCGGAATCGAACCTGGGACCTTTCAATCCACAGACCGACACTCAATCCACTGAGCCAAACAGGTTTCAGCTCCAATTCTTTTAAGTGAAACTTATTCTATGGCCTAGGATTTGGTCTCTTCTGGGCTGTATTCCATGTGTTTTGGTAAATAATCTTTATTCTGTTTGGGGTAGAATGTTTTATAGAAGTCCCTTCCAGGTCATGGGGTATAGTTACGGTTATTAGCATTGTTCAGATCTCCTATTTTTTGTTTGTTTGTTTTGTTTTGTTGTTGACCTTCTGCCTAGTTGTATAATTGTATTGAAAATTGAATATTGGGATCAACTTTTGTTGGCTTGCCTGTTTCCCTCAATTCTGCCAAGTATTTCCTATTCTCTTGTTTTACTTCATCTACTTAAGGGCTTTGTTTTCGTGTGCATATATTTTGGAATCGCTGGATCTTCCTGATGGATTGTCTCTGTTACTGTTGTTAGGAATCAGCATGATCTCTAATAACTTCTTGGGTTTCAATCTACATATATGTCCATCCTTTTCTTTTCAACCTGTCAGTGTGTTGGATTGAAAACGAGTCTCCTGGAGAGAGCATGTAGTAGCTCTCGGTGTTTCCATACAGACTAACAGTCTCCGCCTGTCGGTTAGTAGATTAACAATTCCCATTGAAGGATTTCATTTGCAAAGTTGGATTTAGGTTGGCCATTTTCTTTTCTATCTTTGTACATCTCATGTCCTTTTTATTTTCTTTTACTGTTACTGCTCTCTTTTGCTTTGGTTGACTATTTTAGAATGCCATTTTGATCCCTTCAACCATTTTTAACTATTCTAATCATATTTATTTCCCTAATGGTTGTTCTGGGGCTTACCGTGGGTGCTTTAACTTGTCAGAATCTACTTCAGGGAGAATGTAGCTTAATTGCACCAAACATCCCCCATACGCAGCTTCACTTCCCTTGCCCACCTTTTGTGCTAGATTTGTTAGACATAGTACATTTATATGCTATACACCAAAAATACAGTGTTGGTAATACTGCTTTACATAATTTTAAAAAATATTTTTATTGATTTCAGAGAGGGAGAGAGAGAGAAACATCAATAATAAAAGAAAATCATGGATCGGCTGCCTCCTGCAGGTCCCACACTGGGGACCGAGCCTGCAACCTGGTTATGTGCCCTGACCAGGCATCGAATTGTGACATCCTGGTTCTTAGATCGGCGCTCGACCCCTGAGCATGTTTGCAAGACTTTCTTGTGTCTTGGACTTTTACCGTGTAAACACTGTTGTTTAGACCCAGGAGGGCTCTTCTCACTCTGTTCCTGGGCCGCTCTCACGGGGACACTCCACCTTTAAAGGAGATAGCTGGGGCACTAGCCTGCCTCTGGGGGGAACCTTTCCCAGCCTGGCCCTGCCCTCACACGCAGAGGGGGGCTGGGGGCACCGGGCACTGAGGGGATCATGCTCTGCGGCCAGGCCTGAGGCAGAGCATCCGTGGAGGAAGCAAACTTTCTGCTCCTCTTGCCTGGAACAGAGCTTGTGTGAGATGAAGCTAATGGCCATGCAAAAGGCTGGGGCCGCCCCTCGGGAGGGACCACTGCCTCTGCCAGAGATGGAGGGAGAGAAAGCCTGCTTCTGGCCTCCTGGGCCCAGAGCTGAGCTTCTGTCCCGCGGAATGCAGGGACAGGAAAGGGTCATGACTCATGACGCTCATGGCTTGTACCAGGTGTAATGCAGTTTCTTGATTAAGTATTTCTGCCCGGCTGTGTTCTCTTGGATACGTCCAGCCCTTTTAAGTAGCTCTTCCAGAGAGTGCTCACCGTGTCTGTGACTATGTCCCTGGGGAAACGGTCCGCAGTTGCTCCTGCTGCCAGCAAAGTCCTGGGCCATGTGTGCCTTTACCTAGGCCAAACATGTCAAACTCACGGCCAGTGGGCCGCATGTGGCCCACACCAAATATTTATGGCCCAGTTAATACAGGATATGTAAGAAACATTTTATTAAAAATTTTGTAACTTGCCGGGACCGGTTTGGCTCCGTGGATAGAGCGTCTGTCGTCCCGGGTTTGATTCCGGTCAAGGGCATGTACCTTCGTTGCGGGCGTATCCCCAGTAGGGTGTGCAAGAGGCAGCTGATCGATGATTCTCTCTCTTTGATGTTTCTAACTCTCTGTCCCTCTCTCTTCCTCTCTGTGAAAAATCAATAAAAAAAAATATTTTAAAAATTTCGTAACTTAATTTTTACAATATCCTATTATACATAATATATATATATATATATATATATATATATATATATATATGCCTAAGTGACCAAATGACCAAATGACCGACTAGTCACTAATGACCACTGACCACCAGGGAGGGAGCAGACACTCAATGCAGGAGCTGCCCCCTGGTGG